TGTGTGTGTGTGTGTGTGTGTGTGTGTGTGCCTGAGGACTGAACCTACGGCTAACACACTGAGGTATATCTACAGCTCTCTCTCTCTCTCTCTCTCTCTCTCTCTCTCTGTCTTTCTCTCTAAGCTTTCAGGTTGCTCAGGCTGAGCTTGAACTTGCCTTCCTCCTGCCTCAACCTCCCAGAGTGCTAGGAATAAAGATGTGTACTACCATAGCTGGCTGAAAATATAATAATTTTATTTTTGTTTTACGTTTTAAAAGATTCTACAATATATCATAAAAGAGAATTTCAACGTTTGTAAAATCCAATTTCTGGAGAAAAATAATCCCACATGTACAATTTGTCCTTAATAATAGTTGTCGTCTTTGAAAAGAATCAAAAACACTTTTCTGAAATTTTGTCATCATCCCTTAAGAATTGCTTTCTTCCTACTTTGTTATAAACAACTTTGGAAATATGTTTATTTAACTTTGATCGTATGACTCATTCACTTCTATAATGCAGCACAACAGCGTCTTTAATTTTCACATGAGAGCAGTAATTTAGTGGTAGTTTTCACAGATGATTTTCAAAGATGGTTGTAGATTTTAAGTAGGCAAAGCCTTAAATATTGGTAATCTTTTCAGTTGATCATTGTATCTTAAAAAAAAAGACATCTTTCTTAGTTATTTTCTTGTCACTGAAATATAATACCCCCAACACCTGCCATTTAAAGGAAGAGAGGTTTATTTATGCTCATACTTTTAGTCCATAGCAGGCTGGCTCCACAGCAGGAGGGCCTGGCGGAAGGAAAACTGCTCACATCATGGCAGCCAGGAAGCACAGAGCAAAGGGAGAAATGGAAGGAAGATACATCCATCCAGGGCACTCTTTCAGCCCCTTCCAACCAGGCCTCGCCTCCTAACACCACACTGGGCCATAGCACCCTCCTGATTCAATTATCTTTCAAAAGCCCCACCTACCATCTGAGCACATGAAGCTTTGAAGAGCATCTAGATACAGTCCACAACAACACCCAAAATAACAAGCATTTTAAATGGGTTTTATGGCCCAAATTCTTGAAAAAGACTATGCGGTATTTGAGCTCTTATCCTACTTAGTCACTAACAGCTTTCCAGTTACTAGTTCATGTCTTTGGCAGAAGACAAAATATTCCTGGGTCAGAAACAAAGGGTTTTTATCAAAAAAAGCAATAGCCAGAACTTTGTGCTCATTTGTGCTGAATCCTTGTGCTGCTAGTCCCCATAATGATGACACAGACACTGGACACATGGTTAGGTACACCAAAGAACAACCCTGAGCTTGAGGACTCACCATTTGGGTAGCGGCATAACGAGTCTGCCCTGTGCGGTAGTACACACTTGTGATCTTAGCATTCTGGGAGGCTGAGGCAAGAGATTAAAAGTTCGAGACTACCCTAAGCAAGACTATGCCTCAAAAAAAAAAATTTAAAAAGAAGACCGAGGATGTAGCTCAGTGTGAAGGCCCTGGGTTATGTTCCCAGTACCGGAGGGTGAGAAGGGGGACGTAACAAATCTGCTTCTTGGCAGAGAAAGATGTGCCTGCATCCTTTCAAGTTGCTCACTGCAAACACAGCTCTGAGAAATGGTCTGCAGAAAGACTAGTGAAAAATTCTGTTCTTGGCACATCCAAAAAGAACATGCAGGGATCCTCAGGGCTGTAGTGTATGCCCATAAGAAAAAATGTGGGACACCTACAGTGAATTAGACTAACCGAAAATACAATTTTCTGTGACAAAACATCAGAAATTTTCATTTAAATACAGATATTTCTTCCTCACCCAGATAGTGCTGTGGACAGGTCTATCATCATTATAACATTGATGAGTGTTGTAGAAGTTGAGAATTTAGAGAGATTCATTAGAAATCATTTTGAATATTAAGAACTATGAAAGGGAAAGAAATTGCTCAAAGGAAGGAATAACTGGGATGAGGGGAAGGACAAAAAGAGGAAGAAGGAAAGGAAAAATATATAAATATGGATAGCTGGGATAACTGTACTGTTGAAATCCAATGGTTTATTGAAAGGAACAGCTACTGCCTAATATTTTTTCTTTTTGACCAATTTTGCATGCTTATATCTGGTAATCTGAACAACTAATTTGAAGACAATATGCAATATAACAACCATTGGTGAATTCCTACCATCTTGTCTAGTGAAACTCTGTATCATTTCTAATTTTTTTTAATTTTTATTTTTTATTCTCTTTAATGGTTTGATCAATCTTGCATTCTTGCCTCTGGTAATCTGAGCAACTTCATTGAAGATAACAATATGTAATGTAACAGCCACTGTTAATTCCTATCATTTTGTTCTGAAACCTGTATCATTTTTATTGTTTTCATTTTGTTTTATTTTTGCCTACGTTGTTGGTATTTTGCTATTGTGCTTTTTTTATTATTCTCTTTAAAAGAAAAAAATATTAGGTTTTCTTAGTTGAATCTTGCTATGCTTTCATGGTTTTCTGAAAATATGATGCAAAAATTATGATTCAAAACATGACAGTGTAGCAGTGCTGACCACCGTCACACCACCAATAACAGGTAATACTGCTTGAGGACTTACTATGTATCCAGCACCAAAATGCTTGTAAGTATTAACTGACTTAATTCTTACAATAATCATATGAAGCAGACACTATTGTTTTCCATGAGAGGAAACTAAGGCACAAAAGGTTAATTTCCCTAGTATCACACCTTTAGAGTATCCATTGAGATGTTTTCACCTCATAAGTAGTTGTTGAATAAAATGAATCAATTTTCAAAAAAAAAAAAGTGTTTTCAACTGTGATCGTCAGGAACTGCCAATACTTGGTGTACTTATTATATGACCTCATAAGAAGGCAGAGATATAATGAGTTACAGAGATAGCTGGGCAGTAGTCAAATGAAGTCATCCATCAAATGTATTTCTCTCTTTCTTTTTTTGAAAGGTTATCATCTAGATACTGTCTTTGTCTTCTATCTGGTCCTTTTTGTGGCCACAGGATGACTGGAAGAGTTTTTGGCGTTACACTGACACTTGACCATATCCAGAGTCAACATGGGAAACTCTCTGTGGTACTTTCTATGTAGGAGTCTAAAAAGCCTTTCTTGAAATCTCCCAGCAGCCTTTTCGTAATGTCTACTCCTTCAAACCAGGTTCTACACTCACCTCTGCTCATTCATTGCCAAGAAGAACAGGATTCCACCATGATGGCCTTAGACTAGGCAGGATCTATTCCCGGCACTGGGAATATAGGCCACCTCCCCTGAGCTCTATGGGTGACAAATCTAAGGCTCTGCAGCTAGCAAGAAAAGAGGTGTGACCAAGGGCTGTCCCTGCCAGGGTCTGCTCCAGCAGGTTAGCAAAGAAGGAAGGAGAGGAACTCTGTCTTTAAAGCCTGTGTTGAAATTGGACAATTCTATTTGGGCTTTCCTGTTTTTGTTTTTTAAGCTAACATCTTAGAAATAGAGATCTGTAGTAAGTTTGAGCTAATTGATAGTGAGACAGCATCCAGAAAATTGGCTTTTTTATTACTGTATTACCAAGATGACTGTCAGTCGGAGGCCACGGCAGTGATTTCCAAGATTGCGCCTGACCCATTCAGATATTTTAGGAAGAGGTTTAACCATCAAACACAAACTGGTGGTATGAATATGTGAAAGAAACAGGTCTCAAATCTTTCCATTTCAGGACTTCTTAACAGTCACAAAATTATTGGCAACTTTGAAGACCTTTAGTTTATGCTGGTCATATCTACTGACAGTTGCCGTACTCAAAATTTAAAAGAAGGGGCTGGAGGTTTAGCTCAGAGGCACAGCTCCTGCCTGGCAAGTGCAAGGTCATGAGTTCGATTCCCGGTACTGAAAACAAAACAAAACAAAAAAATTTAAAAGAAAAAGTCAAATACATAATTCTATTATGCAATATAATGATGAAACAATTATGTGCTAATATAAATTAAATTTACACTAATTTATTTCAGCAATTTTATATTAATATAAAAAAAGCACATTTTAAAGAAAAAATAATCATGTCTTTCAAAACCAAAACTCAAATGAGAAAGTGCCACTGTTTTACATTTAGGCAAATGTTTTTCAGGCCTGTCTTTTTTGTGTGTGTGTGATTTTTTTGTTTTGTTTTGTTTTGTTTTCTGGTACCGGGAATCAAATTCACAACCTTACGCTTTCCAGGCAGGCACTGTGCCGCTGAGCTAAATCCCTAGCCCTTTTTTTTTTGTGTTTGTGTGAATTTTGAGACAGTGTCTCACTATGCAGTTCAGGCTGGCCTTGAGCTCACTTTGTAGCCCAATCTCGTCTAGAACTCACAACAATCCTCCTACCTCAGCCTCCCAAGTGCTGGGATTACAGGCATGCACCACCACACCTGGCTCACATGTTGAGAATCATCATCTGAAAGTGTTTCTGCGGGCTATACCCATGCCTAGTTTATAATTGTTTCCAGCACTAGCACAGGTACTGACAGTACATAGGTATTAAAGGGATACACTTAGATAGATCATGTCTCGGAAGGTGGAAATAAGATGTGTAGCAGCCCAGCAGCTATGCCACAGTCCTGAGCGTCTGATGACCTGAAGTCCTGATGTCCTCCAAATCAGGAGCAGAAGTTACTTCAGAAGTTTCCTGGCATCACCAGCCCCTTACTTAAAATACAACTACCCCCAAATACTAGCTTTACTAACATATATTCTAAGGAAATATTTTATAACATGAAACACATTTCATCTATTTTTTTTCAGATATACCATTTCAGATGATCTAAAAGTTGGCTTTTTCACCACAGACCATGCTACCCAAACAGATACCAATGAGATTTTGCCAGTAAAAGAATTAAGTTCATCTACACAAAAGTTAATTCAGGTAAATCTGGACTTATTTTGCAATTTTTATGATAATTTTTAACACTTGTCTTCTTGTGTCTTTCACTGACAGAATTAAATGATGAATGATTTAAAAATATTAGCCTCTTTGAGAAAGCGAGCTGAATGACGATTGTAGTTTTAAAAATGAATATAAGCTGTGATTTGTATTTATGTCATACTTACGTGTTAGTTTGCTTTGTAAAATGTTTTGCTACTTTTTATACTTTTCACATCTGTGTGCTTTCTATTTATGACACTTTTTAAAAGTTATAGAATTTTTTGCATACATGGAGAGAATATAGAGAATAGTATATGAAAAAACTGTGTTCCCTGTCATACAGCTTTGTCAAATCTTGACATTTCCCATATTTTATTTGGAATGCTTGATTGTCAAAGAACATAACCTCCCACATACATCATATATCAAGAGTTATCATTAAAAACCTTAACCAATAAAACTGTTACGTGAAGTAACATACCATTACAAATACTCTTAGGTAGCTCGTTTTTATTTTCTTGCTTAATACAACTTGAAAATCATTCTATATTGGCACATAAAGGCTTTCTTCATTTATTTCGCAAGTACATCATGACACAAAGTGTACATCATATATTTAGCTATCCCTCTGTTGATAGACATTTTGGTAGTTCAGATCTTTTACTGCAATGAATAACCCTGTGCATATTCATATGCCAGGAAATCTGTGGTGTAAATTCTTAAAAGTGGAGTTTCTGAGTCAGCGGATGTATGCATTAGTCATTTTAAGGATATTGCCAAATTGCCCTGTGCGGAGATTATACCAATTTATACTCCCACTGGTAGCTTTTGAGGATGTCTCTTTCCTACATACTTGCTGATTTACTGTCTGTTTTTATAAAGACAATTTTCAGAAATGTTTTATAGTTTCCTTCTCTTGTACTAGGTGTGTCTGTCTGGCTAAGTTTTGGTCTAGGATTTGGACGGAAATGATGTGCGGCAGCCCTGGGGAACCCTCTTACAGACACACTTCCCACACGCTTGCCGCCACTGCCTGTTCCCGCCCCTCGCTCCCCACTTCCCACCTCTCTCCTCCCTTTGCCCCCTTCCTTCTTCCTTCCAGGATGGCTTTGTCTGATCCTAAGGGCCCACGTCCTAACCCCACAGTGAGATGAAGTTTCCACCTGCTGAAGACCTCTCCCTCGGATTCAACTCAGCAGCATGACTGTTGAAGAGACGAACTGTATCGAAAGCATCACACTCTATTGCGTTTTCTTGCCTGGGCAGATTTGCTGCCCTTTGGAAGCCCCAGCCACCAGGAGATGGGGTTACTGGGCCCCCTAATGTATATCCCAGACGAAGAGGTAGATTTGACCAGGTACCCAGTTATGTGCCTCACTGTATACTTTTCTATTTTTAGGTTATTACAGCCCTTCAGGTGGATTTTAGGTTCCTTAAAGAACTGGTTCAGTTGAAGTTTGAGGACAGTCTTCAAGAAGAGTCTTCAAAAATCGTCGTTGCTCTCCAGGACAGGATCTTAGAGATGGAAAAGCACTATCAACAGGTAGACATTCTGTCCTTTGTTCTCACTGAAATGCGCACTCCTGTGCTTCAGTGTGTGTGCACTGCGGTGTTGAATTCAGTGGCTTAAGTGGGGAACTTATTTTGCATCTCGTATAGTAACTAATACTTAGAGCTTTGTTCTGTGTCAGAACTGTTTTTTGTTTGCTTCTGTTTTTTGAGACATGGCCTCACTTTGTACTTTAGGCTGGCCTCCAACTCATGGTGATTCTCCTGCCTCAGCCTCCCATGTGGTGGGATTACAGGTGTGTGCCACCACACCTGGCTATATGTGAGGAACTTTTTTAAAAGTACCTTGTTGGGGCCGGGGATTTAGCTCAGTGGCACAGTGCCTACCTGGCAAGCGTGAGGTTGTGAGTTTGATTCCTGATACGGGAAAAAAAATAAAAATAAAAAAATAATAAAAGTACGTTGTTTATGAACTCATTAATCCTCATATTTACCTTCTAAAATTGGTATAATCTTATAAAATTGGTATTGTCTTTTCTCTTTGACCGGTAAGGAAACCGAGATACTGAAAGTTTAATTAACTCGCTCAGGTTCACCAGTTCAACAGCAGAGAGGAAAGTCAGGTTTCAGGCCAAATAACTTGATGTTTGACTTCTTGTTCTTTTTTTATTTTCCTTTTTTTGTTGTTGTTGCCAAGATCAAACAAAATTTATTTCTGTACACTTGAAGTGGACAATTAAAAATTTAAAAAAACAAAAAAATTTAAACTAAAAATAATATTTTCTACAATTTAAAAATACTACGAGGGAACAAATTTAACAAATGAAATACAAAATTTGTGCAAACTATTTTTTTTTTTTGGGTACTGAGAATCGAACTCAGGACCTTGTACTTGCCAGGCAGACACTGTGCCACTGAGTTACATTCCCTGCCCCTTTAATTGTTTTTTTCAAACTGTGAACATTGCTGAAAGAAATAAAAAAACCAACCAAGTAAATGAAAAGACATCCCAGGTTCATGGGTTAGAAGAAACAATACTGTTAAGATATTAATTGGCAATAATCTCCAAATTGATGTACAGATTAAATGTAATCTCTGTCAAAACCCCAGTCGTTGACTTCTTGTTCTTAAGCACACTTTTTTCCCCTCAGCATTGCGGTCTAAACCCTGGGACTTCACACTCCCAACACCTTCCACCCTTTTAAATTTGAGACAGGGTCACACTGACTTGGCTAAGTTGCCCAGCCTGGGCTAAAACTTGCGATCCTCCTGCTTCAGCCTCCCAGAGCGCTAGGATTATAGGCATGTGCCACCACACATGGTTTACCCACAGCTTTATATGATGTTATTTGTGCTTTGATGCTCTGTAGGAGCCAGGACATGAAAACTGGTGCTTCAAGGAATTTTGTAAAATTTTTGGTCAGGGTAGCCGACTTACCTGTTATTAAAATCAGGCATTGTTATTATTTCTGTGCTAGAAAACAAAAAGTCATATTTTGTTGACCACAACATACTAAATATGCTAAGTCTTTGAAATAAATTTATCCCATAGGCCTTTTGAAATTCTAAAATGAAAATCCCATTAACCATGATCTACAGATTAGGAAAGAGCTTGCCAAGGTTAAGTAATCTAAATAAGTCTAGATAATAAGGGACACAATATTTAAATTCAATCCTTTCTTTCTCAACAGTCTATTTGCTGGAATCAGAATTGATATCAGACTCAAAAGCATTTTTTCAAAAAATGTACTGTCTCTTACTTTTTCCTACCCAAGTAAAGTATCAGATTGACTTGAGAATGAGTCTAGTTTATACATTGGCCACTCCAAATTTCTTTTCATACATCTATCACATCAAAAAGTATAAAGAGAAGAAGGAGATATGAACCACTAAAATAGTCTGCTACTTGTTGTTGTTGTTGAGACAGGGTCTCACTTATAGTCCAGGCTGGCCTTGAACTCATGATCCTCCTGCCTCAGCCTCAGATTTTGCAACTTTTATATCTCAGGGAAGGCACTAAAGTATTTAACCTGATCTATAAAATGAAATTGTCTATACTGCATTAATTTTATTGTTATTGCTTTTGGTTAGGTATAAGTACAAGTTAACTGTGTTATAATAGTTTAGCGTGGAAGAAATGATTATAAGTTGAAGTTCTCGAGCAATTGTTGTGATTTTGATGGTGAATTTTCCACACGGTTCCTCCCTAGTGCGTGTGAGCCATATCTGGAAGCACACTGTCGTGCTTACTGTATTTATTTTTGGTTTGCAGAATGAGGAGAATATGAGAAAATGCTTTCAGCAGCAGTTAGCTGATGCCATCGCCGTCGTCAAAGGAATGTACCAGGTGGGTTCGGTGCCGGGGAGAGCAAGGCTGGTTTTAGCTCCGGTGCGTGCACCCAGCTGGCTCACCTTGAGTGCCCAGTCTTTCTTTGTACCTTTAAAGTCTGTTTCCTTGATTTTCAGGTTATCTCAAAGGGTTCAGGCCCGCCACTGCTCACACTCAGATTAAATTTACCAGAACAACATTTTACGGTGATAACTCTCTGGAGGCTGGAAAAATGCCAATCTGGTATCCAGGCTACCTGGGCAAGAGCCAAAGTAACCCAAAGTTTGTCTGGTGAAGATGCAGTTGGATAGACGATCAGATGCCCCGCAGGGAGGGACTTTTCAAGTGACAGGGACACTTCTATCTGCCAGACATAGTCCTTCATTCTTACACAGTGGGAAAATTCATATTCTCAATGATTTTTTTTTTTTTTTTTCTTTTTGAGACAGGGTCTCACTATGCAGTTCAGGCTGGCGCTGGTCTTGAGCTCACTTTGTAGCCCAGGCTGGTCTCAAACTTGCAGCAAGCCTCCTGCCTCAGCCTCCTGAGCGCTGGGATTACAGGCACGTGCCATCACGCCCAGCTTCTCCATGATTTTTTTAAGACTTCATGAAGACCTCAGGCTTCTTTCAGTATTTGTAACTCTAACCCCACCTTCCATTTCAATATACTTGCATAAATAAATATTTTATATCCATAGCTAATCGTCCTCTGATTGCACACCTCTTCACATAGCACTTAATACATTTGTATTTAACTGTGTGATTATTTGTTAAAGGTCTCTGCTCTGAGCCAAACCATAAACCTTATGAGGGGATGTTGTGTGACTTATTCACGGATGTGCCCCTGTGTCTAAGCCCTGTGTGCGGTGCACCATTTAACAATCAGCACATAGCTGCGGAGTAAATTAATGTCCTGTCCCTGAGGCTGACATTGGTGTCACCTGCACAAAGTCCTTGTCCCCAGCTACACATTCTCAGCTCTCCCTTTCTCATTAACAGAAGCATTTTTGATTTTGTAGAAGCTCCTGTCTAGCTATGGCAAGGCCCTGGGCAATGTCAGGTCCCACTGGTCACCAGGCTGTTTTGAAAGAAATGGTTCTTCCTAATTAAAAGGAAGTCATGTGAGGAAGCATCATTTTTCCTTCTTTGGAACCACTCTGTCTCCTTTTGGTGCTTAGAATTGCTGCAGCGAGCCAGAAACCAAAGTCAGAGATCCAGTGGCTTGTGCTGAGGGGACAAAGTGGAATGATGGGAAGCTGGGGCCCTTGGTGGCATCCTTGGCCAACCAGAGTAGCTCAGATTTGCCCTGCCTCTTGCCCTTTTACTTCACGAGAGAACACGTTTTAATCAGGGCTTAAGGCACTGTTAGTTGTCTGCTGAGTCACTTGTAGCAGAAAATATTCTGGGCTCAATTATCTGTCAACAATCTTTGCGACAGTGCCAAACTGGGTTTCCAAAGCTGGCTGCAGCGGTGTGCCTCACACACCTTGCTCCTCGCGTTTCGGCATCAGCTAATTCCCCTCCCTTTAGTTGGTGCTGGCCTTCTCGGCTGGCTGATAAGCATGGGGAGTGAGGAAGCAAAGGCCAGGTCAAAAGAAGCCAGGCAGCTTTATCCTTAAACTCCCAGAATGTCCACATTCAGGCCTCGCCCTCCCTGAGCCCAGCTGCTCTGCCGAGAAATCTAAGCCCCACAGAAGGTACTTGTAGGTACTGGGGCTCCAGGCTCCTTCCTACCCAGCCTTCCTTTCATCTCAGCTCAGGCTCAAAAGCAGGAGTGCAGAGGCTTCCAAAGTGACTCTGCCCACCAGCCAATTACAGGCCTTACAGAGCAGAGACAAGACACCCCTGCGGTTGCTGCCCGATCCCTTGACTCACAGGATTTGCAAGCACAGCGAAGGGCTGTGCTCACGCTGCCGTGTTTAGGGAGCTATGTTACCCAACAATAGAGAGCTGGGACAGTATCCACACACATTAGTGAGCCGTTTCTCAGTTCAGTTTGTTGGACAGATGACTTTTCTACAGGTTTGCTGCTAGCACAGAATAGTAGCATCACCGTTAAGAGTTAGCACAGTGTGTGTTTTGGAGGAGGGACCCGGAAGTGAAACTCTTCTGGGTTGGAACCCTGGTTCTGCCATGTAATGACTGTGTGACCTTTGACAAAGTACCTGCTGTCTCTGCCTCAGTTTCTTCTGCTGTCAGATGAGGATCATAATAGTGCCCACCTCACATACTGGTTCTGAAGGCAAAATGAATCTTTCTGAAGCACTTAGAACATGGTTAGTGCCACCTACGTGCTATTAAATAAGTAAACACCTTCACATACTCACGGTGCTCTTCAGTGTTGCTGTCTTTGTCTGCCTCTTTCCTATTTTTAGTATTTAGGTTTATTGACTCTGTCCACTGACCACAGATACGGTGAAAGTACCCTTAACTATTTATTGTGTATTCTGTATGAAATTGCCATTTTTAGAACTAAAAAAGGTTAAGATATCAGTAGTTTGATATGGTTAGACCTAATATAAATAGTTTTAAAAAACACAGACATAGTTTGTCAAAAGACAGTAGCAAACTGCATGAAATACAGGTTAAGTAAGGCAAATCATCTTCGATTCAACCAGCACTCACTGAGTGAATACTTGGTACTAAGATGTGCTGGACCCTGAGTTTGCGGCGACGCGGTAGGGATGGGTAGAGGGGGAGAAGAGTACAATCCAGTCACAGTGTGGGTGGACCAGTGCTGAGATAAGCACACAGACCAGGATTTTATGGGACACCACAGAGGACCAGTTATTTCTGCCAGTGCTCTTTGGGAAGTCTTTACAGAGGAGGTGATATTTGTGCTGGGTTTAAAATTAAGTGCTCAGTCGACGGACAAGAAGTCAAAAGGGATCCTAGGTGAGCAGTTTAGTGCATGTCAGAATATTTTTGGTGCCAAGCGAGAGAAATATAATCCACATGGTCATTAGCTAAAAGGAGATTGTACTGGCATGTGTGACTAAAAAGAGTAGCATTAGTGCTTCAGGAAAACCTGGGTCAAGGTGCACAAGTCATTAAGAAATTGTTCATCCCTGAATCTTGCCTTCTCTGATGATTTGATTTCCAAACGTTTTCTCCCCACATCAGGGTAAACTTGAAGAGAGTATGTCTTTTTAAATAGATCCTACAAGTTCAAAGAACTGACCCAGAATGCCCAGCCCTGGATAGTGTGGCCAGTCCAGAGTCACATAGCCATTGGTGGGGGTTACCTGGATGGAAGAGAGATTATGTTATCTGAAGGAGAGATGCTGGTTAGGCAGGACTTTTAGGGAAAATAGTTTCCTACTTCCCATATCAGGTGACAGGGAAAATAGGACCCAGTCAGAGAAGCGCATGGTCTGAGCTGTTAATGTTGCATATGGAAGCCACCAGCCGTATGTGGTTCCTGCAGTTGAAATTGGAGTTAAATTAACAAGCTGGTTCTTTGGTGACAACTCTTCAATTCTTTTTTTGTTGTTAAAACAGAGCCTTGCTATGTAGATCACTCTGGCTTCAAACTTGAGATCCTCATGCTTTAGCCTGCAGAATGCTGGGATTTCAGGCAGAGCCACCATACCTGGCCACAGCTTTTCAATTCTTGATGTGATTCAGATAGTGGTGTTTTTTTTGTTTTGTTTTGTTTTTATACCAAGAATCAAACTCATGACCTTGCGCTTGCAAGGCAGGCGCTTATGCCACTGAGCTATATCTCCAGCCCAGTGGTATCATTAATAACAGGAGCTATTTCACAGCACTGTAGTCTAAGCTTGTGCTCTTGCTAATTAGAAGTTAAGCCCCATTGTGTCTGCACATCAACAGCAGCACCTTTGCCCACTGGCCTCTCCAAAGTGTGGTACCCAGACACGAAGGCTCAGTATCTTCTGCCTAGTTTCACCCCATGGAGTAAGCACTTTGATAGGCGGCAATATCTTCATTCCTAGCTGAGGATAATAAGACACAAGGCAGTACTTATATGGTCCCAGCATACAGGAGGCTGAAGCAGGAGGATATTGAGTTCAAAGCCAGCCTGGACTGCACAGGGAGACCCTGTCTCAAATAATGGGGAGTAGGTTGTGGAAAAACAAAGGAGAAAAATTTTGAGACAAGAGGAAGAATTTTATTATGTAAATGACATTAAGGAACTATTTATCAATTTTGTTACATATAATACAGACATTGTGATTATGTAAGAAAAAGTCCCTAATTCTTAGAATGCACCTTGAAGTGTTTCAAGATCAATGACATGGCTGGGCAAGGTGGCACACATCTGTAATCCCAGCACTCGGGAGGCTGAGGCGGGAGGATTGTTGTGAATTCGAGACCAGCCTGGGCTACAAAGTGAGCTCAAGGCCAGCCTGAACTGCATAGCAAGACCCTATCTCAAAAAAACCAAAAAAATAGATCAATGACATGTTTCTTGAGGGTTCCATCAAGAGTATTTATTGATAAACACATGGGTAGGTATATGGCAAGCTATTGCTACCTTTATTTTGTTTGGGCCAATGATATAGCCCAGCAGCACAGTGCCTGCCTGGCAAGCGCAAGGTCCTGAGTTTGATTCCAGGGTACCAAAATAAAAATACAAATTCTATTTTGGTATATGTCCTAAAATTTTCATCATAAGTAAATATGTTTTTGAAAATGCAAATCAACTGTTAACCCACCCTCTTTGTATCTAAATATAATGTAAATGTAATATCTAAATATTACATTTACCTTTCTATGTACATTTACATTTTTTTTTTGTACTGGGAATTGAAAACATTTACATTTCATGTTTCATAATGTCCACACCTTCCATTGCTGAGGATCTGATAAGTGCGGGTTTCCCAAGTGCTGACTCTCATTCATGATAAATCATTTGCTTTTGAATTTCATGACTTTTAATTGTGAACTCGTATTTCCGAGAGAATTATTTGAGGCCTGGAAATAGAGGTAGGTTTCTTTAGAGAATATCTGCTTTTGTTCGTGTGAGACTCCTGGGCTTATGCCCACTCTGTA